CTTTCTTTCTTTCTTTCTTTCTTTCTTTCTTTCTTTCTTTCTTTCTTAATTTATTTTAATTAATTAATTTATTTATTTTTCCATTCAAAAATTTACACTTCTTCCCCTCCTCCCATTCCCCTCCCGCTCCCCCACTCAATCTCCTCCCTCCTCCTCCCTGCTTAAGAGAGGGCAGGGAACCCTGTCTTGTGGGAAGTCCAAGGCCCTCCCCACTACATCCAGGCCTAAGAGGCCTTGCATCCAAGTAGACTGAGACAGTGTGCCTGTTCCAATGGGAGCTTACCAAATCCAGCTGGATTGGGACTGAATGAGCATGCGATCAAACCGGACTCTCTAAATGTGGCTGAAAATGGGGACTGACTGAGAAGCCATTACTCTTTCTTATGTGAAGAGTTGGGGGGAGGTGCTGAAAGTCTAAGACTTTTGTGAGCCTTTTGAGTCTTGTTAAGTGTGATTATCTATGTGCACGTCTGATTATGGCTATATGGAGTACCTTGACCATTGGTGTATCTGCCATGCACTTGCATGCTGTGTGTGTGTGCAGGTACAAGCATATTTCTGTGTGTTGATGTGTGCAAGTGGTCTGTACAGGAGCATGTGTGCTCACCTGAGAGCGGCTCAGAGTACATGCTCATCCCTACCCTGTGCTCATGTGTTTAGATGTAAGCAAGTGGCTGCTTGTGTGGGTAGATATTTAGTGTATTCCTACACCCCAGTCGACCAGTGCACAACTATCGGTTTGCCATTGCCACAGGTCTCCAGTGGGGGTGCCTGAGAGCACCCCACAACTGTTTGGCAATTCTTGGAAAACCCTGTCTGCCTGTGCCCCACTGGTCCCTGGCTCCCTGCTGGACCCCTGTGATGTGCATCTGCAAGCTGGTGAGAGATGAGGCGGTAGGGAGGCTTGGGAAGGGGAGCAGAAGCGGAATGGTTTGCTAGAGGTAAAGTGGCAACTTGATGGGCAGATTCAGAGGGGTGAGAGGGGAGCCACAGGAGGGGACAGGAGGGAGGGGACGGTCAGGCAGATGGGAAGCTTCCTGCTCTATCACCGGCAGCTATATTCAACTCAGTACTGATACCCATCCCAAGACAAAGGCCACATCCTCAGAAGTGTCCCCCAGGCCCCCGTCCATACCCAGCCTCCTGCTTTGTCTCGTGCCCACACTGCCCTGTAGTCTGCTCCAGCTGGCTTCTCTGCTGTTCTGACACCCAGGTGTACCCTCCTCCCAGGCCTCTGTACTCATGTGGCTTCCCCTCCCCCGCCACACTCTTACCTCAGGATGAGATTCACTTCAGCCCTTCTTTCAAACTTTTGCTCAAACGTTACCTTCTTATTGAGGCCTTCCTGGCCACTTGAACTAAAATAACAGTTGTCCTGTCTGCCCACCTCATGCTGCCCAGCCTTCCCTAGTTTCCTCGTGCCTCGGGTTCATGCTCTACTGACTAGTGAAGATGTTTCCTGACTGTCTCTTCCAACCAGTCTGGCTATCTGAAGGTCTGGAATTTGATCAGCCACATTCACTTCTGTGTTTCCTTTAACAGATAGATCCCTGCCTGGATAGGGTTGAATGACTATCTGCTCATACTCCTGCTATGTGCATGCACATGTGTATATATGTACTCGTGTAGTAGTCATAGAAGCACACATGCACATGCATTCATGTGTGCACACACACAAATGAACATGTGTATGTACATGCGTGCACACACACACACACACACACACACATCTATGGACCCTGGGGGAGGGAGGCTGAGTCTTGGGGCAGTAGGCAGCCAGGACATGCTCAGTGACCATATCTTCGCATCGCAGCCTCCTATGCACTGCAGTCCTGCAGCGTGCTCACAGGGGAGCTCTTTGCACCCTGCTCTGCGTATCTGAGCCCGATACCCTACTTCGAGCAGTGCCGCAGGGATGCCTGCCGCTGTGGGCAGCCCTGCCTGTGTGCCACGCTGGCCCACTATGCCCACCTGTGTCAGCGCCATGGGCTCCTGATTGACTTCCGTGCCCATCTGCCAGCCTGTGGTGAGTACCCCACCCCCGTACATCCACGGAAGTCTAGGTTCCAGACACAGGTGTCCCTTACCTACCCCCCGCCACATGTGCTAACGCAATGTCTTGTCTCCTCCAGCCTAACTTCCTTCCATAGTCCACTTCTCTTGTTGCCACCACGGTCTCTAGGCTTGACTCTCAGAACACCTTGCTCAGTATTTCTTCTCCAATCCATCCCTAGTTCGTCTCCAAGCCCTGTCAGTCTGGCTGAGCCCAAGTTAGCCCACTTCTCACCTCTTCTGCCATCTCCATAGGCAGACCCACCTTCTCACTGCAGAAAAATGGGTTCTCCGAACTGGCTCTAAGGCTGACTTTAGGTCCCATTAGTGTGTGACCCTCCACTGTTCTCTGGGTCTTAGTCCTTACTGCCCTGAGCCCCATAGAGCCTGACTCCCTGTGAGCTTTTGCAAAGAGAGAAAAATGAATCCTGCTGGGAGCTCTGAGTTCTACTCCAGCCCGGCGGGCAGCATGCTGTGCGGCCCTGCACAAAGCTCTTCCACTCTGAATCAGTGTCTCCAGAGGTGCTCGGACAGAGCCAGACGTTCCCAACTCCGGTTGTGCATAGAGGCACAAGGATCTTTTTAAAATATGATCACACCTTGTCCACAACCTGTATCAGTGAGAACATCACCCTGGTTGAGGGTTCCAGACATCTGCAGCATTGAGAAACTCATGTTAAGCAGCTTTGATGAGCAGCCTGTGGTGGGAATAGCTGATCTTGGCAGTTCCAATGGATTGTCTGCCTTGGTGCTGTTTGAGGTTCCCAGGGAGTGGAAGGGTGGCCCCATGAGGAGATGGCAGGCCTGAAGCTTGGTATAGAGCTCTGAAGAAGCTTCTGGAGAGAGTATATGATCATCACAGTGAAGGGTGTAAGCCTGTGCATGTTCACATACCTATGAGGAACGTGTGTGTGTGTGTGTATGTGTGTGTGTGTGTACGCATAGCAGGCCGGATGCCGGGCCACTGGGGTTTTGACCTCTACTCCTCCCCCAGGATCATTATCTAACAGCAATACCTGCTTTTCCAGGCTGAGCGTAATAGATGCTGTTTGACATCTTGGTACAATGAGAGACATCTTTGACCCTGAACTGTTGTGTGACCAGGGTGGGGGCAAATATCTTACCCTCTGATTCTCAGTTTTTCTTGTCAAGATGCTAAATCTACCCCACATGGTTGTGAAAAGAAGAAAGATCAAACTTAGTCTTTCTCCTACCAGCACTGTCCTGTGAGCCCACTAAGGAGTACAGCCCGTGTGTGGCCCCGTGTGCACAAACCTGCCAGGACCTGGCAAGCCCTGATGTCTGTGGGGCTAATGGTGGTGGAAACTTCAGCAGGGCTGAGTGTGTGGAGGGGTGCACTTGCCCACCAGACACGTACCTGGACATACAAGCTGACCTCTGTGTCCCCAGGTGAGTAACTAGCCTGGTGCCTGGGTGCACTGGGTAGTGCGACTGGGGTCTGCTCTGGAGAACTGGGCCGAGCTTCTCCTACCCCTACTTCCCATCACCCTCTCCTGGGCCTTGTTGGCCCAGGTGAATCGTTGTTCTCTGACAGGCTTCTCTCTCCTTCCTGTAAACCAGATTAAACCAGAGCACAGCACGTCGCTCTCCCCAGCTCTCCTCTTCCATGAACATCTGTGTACTCTTAGCATGTTCTAGACAGTTCTGGGCTCTGGAATGCAATAGTGATCAGGATCTAGCTCCCCAAGTCCACAATGCAAGCTGACAAGACAGAACCCCCAAAACAGGCACTTAGGTAGCTGGGGTGGTTAGAAGAGCAGGAAAGCCACACAGAGGGAGGGCCAGGAGTCCTGGGCTGTCACACACAGGTGAGGTAGAGGTGGGTAGGTCCTTGGTGGAAATAGCATCTAAGTGCCCTCCCCACCAGGTACAGGAAGGCAGGAGGGAGCCTGAGGTGAGAAGCAGCCTGTAGCTTTGCTGAAGGCAGAGTGGGAAGAGTGGTTGATGGTGATTCCGCAGGATCCCAGGATGACTGACAAGGCTCCTGGAGTCTCGGCCTCAGTTTCTCTGTCTGTGGAGTGGTCTATTAATTGCTTGGAGGTTTTCTAGTAATGAGGGGAAGGAGTCACCCCCTTTAGGTGGCACAGAGGGCTCACTAAGACTTACCACACTGCAGAATCCTCCTTTGGGCCTCAGCTGAGTGCCCACTAACCCTTAATAAAAAGCCTCTGTAAAGTACATGAGAAAGACAAGGAGCAATTGGAGAGTACTGAGAAAGAATATTCTGGGGTCCCTTCCATGGGTACCCCAAACCCTGGCCTGTTCTGCTCTAAGACCAGCAGTGTTGGAATCAGCTGTGGGAGTTGTGTGTTAAGAACATACACCCTGTGACCTCAGATGAGTCCAAGGATCAAAAACAGTAACACCCTTACATCCCAGGATCCCAGAGAGGAACCCAGGAGACAGTGCCTGGGAGGGCCTAGCCTGAGTCTCAGACCAAGCGTCCAAAGAGTCACTGACCAGTCCAGGGCAGGTGCTGGGTCAGCAGGACTCTGACGCCACCCCAGAACAATGACTGGGGCCAGGAGGTGGAGCTCCGAGCGGATCACCTCTCTGACCTTGGCTCTGAGTTAGATTATCTTTGGGAGGGACAGTGATTACGTACACTCATATGGCCCCCAACCTGGCACTGAGTCCTGCCTTTGACCTCAGCACCAGGGGGGCTCCTGGCCCTCTGGAAGTGTGTCTCATGCCAGGAACTGTCGTCACCTCTCTCCACACCCTCATGCCTGATGCTGCCTGATGGTGGGCTCCTGACCTGGATGTCTCCATCCCCACTCCTGAGCCTGATCTATTCCTTCCTGATTTCTGTAGGAACCAATGTTCTTGCCACTTTCAAGGAGTGAACTATCCCCCTGGGGACAGCAACATCCCTTCCTTAGGGCACTGGTGAGCTTCCTGGGTATCGGTTGCATGAGAAGTGGCGCCCACCCTCTCACTCTGCGTCGGGTGGTGGTGGGGACTAGGATAGAAAGTAGGGATGTCTGTCTGAAGCCCAAGGGCCAAGGGCAATAACATGTGCTAGGTGGGCCCTGATTGACAGACAGGGCTGATATTATCCCCCCAACTTTCTGCAGCCATTGCAGAGATGGAGTCATGAGCTGTGACAGCCAAGTCCCAGGTAAGCAGGGATGAAAGGGAGAGCGTTGGGGGGGGGGGGGGGCACGCTGGTGAAAGATGGACTGGGAAGAAATAATAAACCAAATGGGGTACTAGTCAGGAAGGGGCAGGCAACTCTAGCTTGCCCTGCCTTGGATGTTGGTGTTTCTGTACTCTGGGCAAAGGTCCCGCCCAGCTTAGAGAGTATCACCCTGAAGCTCCATCCCAGCCTCAAACTTCTGGAGAGCATGTGGGGGTCTGAGTCGCTGCTTTCTTTGCTTGTTCTGGATTTTCCTGGTCTGAACTGCTGAGCATCTTCTGAGACTGGCTCTGCCCAAACCAGTGCTGGGCACGGGATCCAGGGCTGCCTGGACTTTGAGCTTCTCCACAGCACAGAGACAGGACAGGGCTGGAACAGCGGCAGGCAGCTGGGGTGCCTGGAGGTGGGCAGAGCATGAAGGTTGGAGCATTCTCAGCAGAGGAGCCATTGAGAACAGGACAGGGGTTGGCACTGAGGGGAGCAACAGTAAACATTTGGCTGGTGGTTAAGAGCAGGCCTTGAGGTTGGGTCCGCTGTGTTCATGTCCTGCCCTGCCCTTGCAGCTGTGCAGCCCTGGGTGACATGCCTCACCTCTCTGAACCTTCATCTCCTCTTTCACAGATAATCCAGAATTCTCCATCCTACCCTCACTTCCTGTACCTTCCTGGGAGCTTCTTTACTTTGGTCTCTTCTGGCTTGGGACTTCTGCCTCTTTGAGATCTGGCTCTTGCTTTCTCTGCTCTGCTCTGCTCCATCCTGGCCTTGAAACTTAACTGCCTTTTATTGGGTTTCCTAAAACAACCACTCGCAAAAAGTACGACTGTGCATAGCAGACTCCGCTGACAACGAGGATGAGGGGGTTATATCAGAGAAGCAAGAAGGAGGGAGTTGGCTCTCTTCAAAGTCCTCTGGCCGCCCTTATAGACTGCTTGGCTGTCCATCTTTGGGTCCTTCTCCTGGTCCTCCTGGGGTCCTTCCATTCAGTTCCCACTGCCTTAAGACAGCAGAATGGCTTTCATAATATCGCGTGAGAAGGCAGATGGGAACACCTGCACAGCACTTGCCATAGACGAGTGTGTAGGGAGCGCGTGGCAGCCGCCAGGACAGAGGTTCTGTTTAATAATGGGTTCATCAGAGGGTGACTGTCCTGCACTGGGGCAGCACTTAAATACCTGGCCCCTGTGATGTGGGAGCCCACATTATGCCCAGGAGCTGCCAACTCCTCCAGTCACCCACACAGTACCACCCCCAGCCCAGGCCATGGGTCTGCAGCATCTATCTGCTTTCCTTCTAGCTGCTGTCTGTCCAGCAGGACAGGTCTTCGTGAACTGCAGTGACCTGCACCCAGACCCTGAGCTCAGCAGGGAGAGGACTTGTGAACAGCAGCTATTGAACCTGAGCATGACAGCACACGGGCCCTGCCTGTCCGGCTGTGCCTGTCCCCAGGGGTATGGATCTACATCACTGCAAACTCTGTCTATACAGTGACAGATCAAGAACTTCGGGGTGGGGAGGACAAGGAAGACTTCACACAGCCTGGGAAGGAGGAGGCAGTGTGGCTGTGGAGCCTGTGAGGAGCCCAGGATGGAGGAGGCAGTGTGGCTGTGGTGTCT